CAAAGCCAGCGGACCTGATGGGATCCCTGATGAAATTTTTATAAAGAGGGTGGACCTGGGCTGACAAAAAATCAAGTACAAAAAATCAATTGCATTCGTTGGAAAGAACACTACCAAAGCCTCCTGAATTGCAACTCCAATGTAGCCGAAGAGGTTCTCTCACAAATCCCGCAACAACAAACCAGGGATGAGCTTGCAGCACTGCTTAGTTTGGAAGAAGTCAGCAATGCCATCAGTCAACAAAAAATAATAACAAAGCCAGCGGACCTGATGGGATCCCTGCTGAAGTTTTTAAAGAGGATGGACCTGGGCTGACACTACAACTCCCCAGCTCATTGAAAAAGTGTGGGTGATTAAGAAAATCCCACCAGACTTCAAGGATGCCACCATTACCCTTTTCAAAAAAAGGAGAAAGAAAAGAATGTGGAAACTATCCAGGTATCTCTCTCCTAATCTCCACTGGGAAACTCCGCACAGATATCCTTGCAAACCGCCTTCTACCCCTCTCAGAAGACACCCTCCCAGAATCCCAGAATGGCTTCCGCCCCTCCAGAGGAACAGTGGACATGATCCTGAATGCACGACAGGTCCAAGAAAAATGCAGGGATCAAAATCAACCGCTGAACATGGCATTCATTAACCTCGCGAAAGCATTCGACACAGTGAATCACGCGTTCTCTGGACCACCCTCTAAAACATTGGGTGCCCTAACAAATTTGTGAACATCCTGCGGCTCCTCCACAATGACATAATGGCAACAGTCCTGCCTCCACAAAAGTCAACACTGACACTGAAATACAACACCGCCTGAGCTCTGCGAGTGCAGCATTCTTCCGAATGAGTCGCCTCTGGCTGAGAAAGGCAGTATACATTGCAGTAAATAAACATAAAATATATTTTTTTTCTCTTCTGGGAGAAAAAAACACACAATGTCATGCAAACGCTCCCCGTCGAATGACTCAGCGACCATGAGTGAGATTCAAAATACAACACCGCCTGAACTCTGCGAGTGCAGCATTCTTCCGAACGAGTCACCTCTGGCTGAGAAAGGCAGTATACAAATGCAGTAAATAAAAATAAAATAAATATATTTTTCTCCTCTGGAAGAAAAAAACACACAATGTCATGCAAAAGCTCCCTGTCGAATGACTCAATGACCATGAGCGAGAATCGAAATACAACACCGCCTGAGCTCTGCGAGTGCAGCATTCTTCCGAATGAGAAAGGCGGTTTACAAATGCAGTAAATAAAAATAAAATAAATAATTTTTTCTCCTCTGGAAGAAAAAAACACGCAATGTCATGCAAAAGCTCCCTGTTGAATGACTCAATGACCATGAGCGAGAATCGAAATACAACACCGCCCGAGCTCTGCGAGTGCAGCGTTCTTCCGAATGAGTCGCCTCTGGCTGAGAAAGTATAGTAATATAGTAAATAAAAATAAAATAAATAATTTTTTCTCCTCCACACATGCAATAGCTCCCCGTCGAATGACTCAACATTCACGAGCGAGAATCGAAATCCGACACACTCCACAATGCCACACTCCTGTACTCTAAATTAATGGGCGTGGAATGAACCAATTCTCATTCCGTATTCACCATCGCCAGTGTAAATCCATTTCTCAAGCCTAGCTGTGTGATTTGGAAAAAATAAAAAAGGGAGTGGAAGGGAGCAAGCAAACCACGTTTCTCTTCCAATACAGAGGACGAGACATACCACGCTGGGCTGTACCGAACGACAACAAATGGGAGTACGTTCCGGAATTTTTCAAAAACACGAGATCGGATTTAAGACTTGCATTGCACTGAATCTTAGAAAACATATGTTGTTTCCAGGGGATGAGGAGAGAGTTAGGCTTGTGCTCTCTTTCACATTAAGACTCTCGTTGTCAATTGTTTCCATCTCTGAGCAAACAATTCAAAACAATCTGTTTTGCATCGCATTATCATATTTGGATCTACAGTCCTCTTATACACCTTTGAATGAAGAACGAAAGGGATAAGGAAGGGGCCTGAGGATGTTAGGAATTTATGTATTTACGAGGGTTGAATAAAAAGTAACTTCGTAACTCCTCAACAGATGGCAATACTGGTATGTGGCAGGTATTGGCTTGTTCAGTAGACTCTCCTCTACAGTTCCATTTTGGCGTGAAGCCTTAGCATTGAACGGCTGTGTTGTTAAAGTGAAAAGTAATGCCTCCACCTTGGTAACTCCTCAACAGATGGCAGTACCGGTATGTGGCAGGTACTGGCTTGTCCAGTAGACTCTCCTCTACAGTACCATTTTGGCGCGAAGCCTTAGCATTGAACTGCTGTGTTGTTAAAGTGAAAAGTAATGCCTCCACCTTGGTAATTCCTCAACAGATGGCAGTACTGGTATGTGTCAGGTACTGGCTTGTTCAGTAGACTCTCCTCTACAGTACCATTTGGGCGGGAAGCCTTAGCATTGAACGGCTGTGTTGTTAAAGTGAAAAGTAATGCCTCCACCTTCGTAACTCCTCAACAGATGGCAGTAGCGGTATGCGGCAGGTACTGGCTTGTTCAGTAGACTCTCCTCTACAGTTCCATTTTGGCGCGAAGCCTTAGTATTGAACAGTTGTGTTGTTAAAGTGAAAAGTAATGCCTCCACTTTGGTAACTCCTCAACAGATGGCAGTACCGGTATGCGGCAGGTACTGCCTTGTTCAGTTGACTCTCCTCTACAGTACCATTTTGGTGCGAAGCCTTATCATTGAACGGCTGTGTTGTTAAAGTGAAAAGTAATGCCTCCACCTACATAACAACTCAACAGATGGCAGTACTGGTATGTGGCAGGTACTGGCTTGTTCAGTAGACTCTCCTCTACAGTTCCATTTTGGTGGGAAGCCTTAGGATTGAACAGTTGTGTTGTTAACGTGCGAAGTATGGAACCCTGCACAGACGGTTGGTCAATGCGACTTAAGCAACGTGTAGTCATTGAATTCTTGACAGCAGAAGTTGTCACCTCAACATCTTTAAACTTACTCGCCCAATGACACACAGTACTCACATCAACACAATCACCATAAACAGCTTGCATTCTCTGATGCATCTTGTTTGGGGCGACACCTTCTGCTGTCAAGAATTCAATGACTGCACTTGCTTAAGTCGCATTGACTGACTGTCTGTGCAGGGTTTCATATTTCGCACTTTAACAACACAACCGTTCAATGCTAAGGCTTCCCACCAAAATGGAACTGTAGAGGAGAGTCTACTGAACAAGCCAGTACCTGCCGCATACCAGTACTGCCATCTGTTGAGGAGTTACAAAGGTGGAGGCCTTACTTTTTCTGCTAAGGCTTCCTGCCAAAATGGAACTGTAGAGGAGAGCCTACTGAACAAGCCAGTACCTGCTGCATACCAGTACTGCCATCTGTTGAGGAGTTACGAAGGTGGAGGCATTACTTTTCACTTTAACAACACAACCATTCAATGCTAAGGCTTCCGCCAAAATGGAACTGTAGAGGAGAGTCTACTGAACAAGCCAGTACCTGCATACCAGTACTGCCATCTGTTGAGGAGTTACGAAGGTGGAGGCATTACTTTTCTCTTTAATGCTAAGGCTTCCCACCAAAATGGAACTGTAGAGGAGAGTCTACTGAACAAGCCAGTACCTGCCGCATACCAGTACTGCCATCTGTTGAGGAGTTACGAAGGTGGAGGCATTACTTTTCACTTTAACAACACAACCATTCAATGCTAAGGCTTCCCACCAAAATGGAACTGTAGAGGAGAGTCTACTGAACAAGCCAGTACCTGCCTCGTACCAGTACTGCCATCTGTTGAGGAGTTACAAAGGTTACTTTTCATTTCACCCTCGTATTTATTTATTTAGGACATTTATATCCCTTCCTATCTCAACTTCCACAGAGGGACTCAGGATGGCTAACAACAAAAAACACATAGGTATACATATCAAGTAAAAAAAACAGCATAAAACATTATAAAAACATTAAAACAACTGCCAATTTATGTTGTCATCCTAAAAACAGTCCATCAGAGTCCATTAAAACCATAGCTTTGCCATCAAGTCAAATTAACCTGCAAAGGCCTAATCCCAGTGCCAGGATTTCACTTTTTTCCGGAATTTCAGGAGGGACAGAACAGATCTGATTTCACTTGGGAGGAATTCCATAGCCAAGGTGCCACCCCAGAGAAGGCCCTGTCTCTTGTCCCCACCAACCGTGATTGCGATGGTGGGGGGACAGCGAGCAGGACCTCCCCGGGATGATCTTAAGGTCCTAGGTGGTTCGTAATTGTGGGAGTTGAAGTCCAAAACACTTCGAGGGGGAAAGATTGCACACACCTGCTATAAGGTGTGTGCAATCTTCAACTCCCTTAATGTATAGGCTGAAACCCAGAATGGACTACTCATTCCATCAACATGGAAGCCACCATTTGGGGAATGCTGGGTTGTACTTTCTGAGCCCGACCTCATTGTATACAGTAGAGTCTCACTTATCCGACATAAACGGGCCAGCGGAATGTTGAATAAACGAAAATGTCAGATAATATGGAGTCTCAAAGCGTTACTCATCCGACGTAACACTAGACACTTAGAATACTAACAACGGGGACTCAATGAGTTAAAGTAAGGCGATGCCCCGGGACTAGAGGGCCCAGATGGAAGTGCCTGGATGTGGAAGAGGAATGTGGAAATCACAGAGGGATTTACCTCCTTTCCTCTCTCCTCTTCCTCCTTACTGGGAATGGAGAGAGAGTTGGGGAGCGCTCCTTTAATTGAACGGGAAATGCTGGAGGAAAAGAGGAGCGTTGGATAAGATGGAATGTCGGATAAGCAAAGGTCGGATAAGCGAGACTCTACTGTATCTTCCGCCCAAGAACCCCTCCGGTCTATAGTTCCCGGAAGCCCTTTGAGCCTAAGCACATCCACACACATATATCACAACCCAAAGCATAACCCTGGGGCGGAACAGAGACAACGGTTGTGGGTTTCACCCCGGTTTGAGCGATCATCTTACCACTGGAGACGAAATTCGACACCCAGGGCAATCACAGATTGGAGGATGTACCTGTAAGATGCCTTTGGACATAAGCGTCTTCAGACTTTTCCCTGGAGAAAAAGACACAGACAAAAACGGAGGGGAAACGGGTGAGTCTGGGCTAAAGAGTGAGATATGTCAAGCAAACTGGACCCTACCAGTGGAGAAAGTTTGTGGCTCACGACTCACAAAGCTTTCTGACCCAAAGAAAAAGCCACAGAAGGAGATCACCATTAGACCCCCCCACCACCCACCCCCAAAAAGCCCAAAAGCAAAGAATAAAGAAGTAATAATAACACTTTATTTATATTCTGCCCTATCTTCCCAAGGGGACTCAGGACGGATACAGTACACATACACAGCATACATTCAATGCCATTTGGACAGACAGGGCAGAAACAGACAGAAAGGAGGTACGTTGTGTTGTGTCGACATCCAGCTTTTTGGCTTCCACCTTCTCCCGCCTTTCCCGGAAACAGATAGAAAGGAGGTATGTTGTGTTGTGTCGACATCCAGCTTTTTGGCTCCCACCTTCTCCCGCCTTCCCCGGAAACAGACAGAAAGGAGGTATGTTGTATTGTGTCGACATCCAGCTTTTTGGCTCCCTCCTTCTCCTGCCTTCCCCATTTGCAGCAAAGCTCCAAGAGGAGGTCATTTCTTAATAATTACTATTACTATTATTATTATTATTACTACTACTACTACTACTACTACTACTATTATTATTATTAGAGTTGTAGAATCATAGAGGTGGAAGAGACCACATGGGCCTTCTAGTCCAAACAGGACTAGTCACAGCTGTCCAAAACAAAAACAAACATAGAGCTGCAATTCTAAGGTGTACCCCATATGCACACGCACACATACATAAAGATATACATACATATATATAAAAAGGTAAAGGTTTCCCCTTGACATTAAGTCCTGTCAGGTCCGATTCTAAGGGGTGGTGCTAATCTCCGTTTCTAAGCTGAAGAGCCGGCGTTGTCCGTAGACACCTCCAAGGTCATGTGGCCAGCATAACTGCATGGAGTTCCATTACCTTCTCGCAGAAGCAGTACCTATTGATCTACTCACACTTGCATGTTGGCAGAAGCTGGGGCTAACAGTAGGAGCTCACCCCACTCCCCGCATTCCAACGACCGACCTTTTGGTCAGCAAGTGCTGCAGCTCAGCAGTTTAACCCATAGTGTCACCAGGAGCTCCATAAATATATATGTGTGTGTGTGTGTGTGTGTGTGTGTGTACACACACACATATCTATACACACACACATACATAAAGTATAGGTAAAGGTTTCCCCTTGTCATTAAGTCTGATCTGGCCACGGTGGTCCACGCTCTTGTTACATCCCGAATAGACTACTGCAATGCGCTCTACGTGGGGTTGCCCTTGAAGACTGTTCGGAAACTTCAACTAGTCCAGCGAGCGGCAGCCAGATTGCTCACCGGAGCGACATACAGGGAGCATACCACCCCCCTGCTGTGCCAGCTCCACTGGCTGCCGGTTCAGTTCCGAGCACAATTCAAGGTGCTGGTTTTGACCTACAAAACCCTGTACGGTTCCGGTCCAGTGTATCTGTCCGAACGTATCTCCCTCTACGTCCCACCCCGGAGTCTGAGATCATCTGGGGAGGCCCTGCTCTCGACCCACCACTGTCACAAGTGAGGCTGGTGGGGACGAGGAGCAGGGCTTTCTCAGTGGTGGCCCCTCACCTGTGGAACTCACTCCCGGGGGAAATCAGGGCATCATCATCCCTCCTCGCCTTTAGGAGGAGGGTGAAGACCAGGCCTTTGGGCACTCCGGCAATTAAATCAGACAACCAGGCGAGTAAGACCAGCAGGATTGATGAAGTGGAACGTAAAACTAGATCTATGAGTAGCGAACGCCGACCATGTAAGAGGAGAAACTGGGTTTGTATTTGGTTTTATTGATTTTATTGATTTTATGGTTATAATGTATATTTGGTGTTAACTGTGTATTGATGTAATTTTGTGTTTGATTGTTTTTATGATGCAGGCATCAAATTGTGCCTTGCTTTTGTAAGCCGCCCTGAGTCCCCTTCGGGGTGAGAAGGGCGGGGTAAAAGAACCCCAAATAAATAAATAAATAAATAAATAAATAAGTCTATTCGTGTCCGACTCCGGGGGTGGTGCTATATGTACATATGCAAATACATATACACATACACACATATAGTCCCATTCCACTTTGAGTCCCATTCGTGGGAGAAAGGCGAGATAAAAGTAAATAAATAATAATAATAATGTATGTTACAGGGCGCCTTGGACATGATAGAACGCGAAGCGGAAACCAAACCAAACTTCAATATTAGTGCGAGCCATGGTTAGAGGTGGTTAGAAATATTATTATTATTATTATTATTATTATTATTATTATTATTATTATTATTGACTTAATGACAAGGGGAAACCTTTACCTATTCTTTATGTATGTGTGTGTGTATGTATGTGTGTGTATACGTGTATATATGTATGTGTGTGTGTATGTATGTATGTATACACACACACACACACACACACACACACACATATATATATATACATACTAGCTGTGCCCTGCCACGCGTTGTCGTGGCCCACTCTGGTGGTCATGGGGGTTCCGTGTGGGAGGTTTGGCCCAATTCTACTGTTGGTGGGGTTCAGAATGCTCTGTGATTGTAAGTGAACTACAAATCCCAGCAACTACAACTCCCAAATGTCAAGATCCTATTTTCCCCAACCCCACCAGTGTTCACATTTGGGCATATTGAGTATTCGTGTAGAGTTTGGTCCAGATCCATCCTTGTTTGAGTCCACAGTGCTCTCTGGATGGAGGCGAACTACAATTCCCAAATTCAAGGTCAACGCCCAATAAAACCCTTTCAGTATTTTTTGTTGGTCATGGGAGTTCTGTGTCCCAGTTTTGGTTCAATTCCATCGTTGGTGGAGTTCAGAATGCTCTTTGATTGTAGGTGAACTATAAATCCCAGCAACTACAACTCCCAAATGACAAATTCATATTTTTTTTTGAGTGGTGGTCACTCCTTGTGTTATGAGACGTTTTGTTGCCAAATTTGGTGTGATTTCGTTCATTGGTTCTTTTGTTTTTAAGGTACTCATTATGCCCAGAGCATTTATATATATATATATAGATACACACACATACACTACACACACACACACACACATATATATGGAGCTCCTGGTGGCACTATGGGTTAAACTGATACACAAGATTGGTACCCCGCAAAGAAGACCAATATTCTAGATTTGGTATTGGATCACACATCGGACACTTCCCAAGTTTGCCCATGTGATGTATCGGGTGAAAATAATGCATGCAGAGCCTTTCACAGCTGACAGGTGGTGATTCAATTGTTTTTAAGTGCAGGCCAGGGTCTTTAGGCACTGAGCCCAGTGTGCCGATCATCACTGGAACCACCTTTGGCTTGAAATCCTACTATTATTATTATTATTATTATTATTAATAATAATAATAATAATAATAATAATAATAATATATGGAGTGTACCCCTCTCCCTGAAAGCACCCCTGGGTAAAGCATAAGGAAAGGGAAGTCAAGCTCAATCCAAGACCTCTCGCTGCTGCCTACTCCTACTCCTCATCCTCTTCTCATTCTTGCTCACCTCAAGCAAAGAGCATCATTAGGAAGGAAGGAAGGAAGGAAGGGAAGGGAAGGGAAGGAAGGAGGGAGGGAGGAGAGGGAGGGAAGGGAGGAGGAAGAAGGAAGGGAGGAAGGAAGGAAGGAAGGAAGGAATGAAGGAGGAGAAGGAGGAAGGAAGGAAGGAAGGGAGGAAGGGAGGGAGGGATGGAGGAAGGAAGGAAGGAAGGAAGAAGGGAAGGAAGGAAAGAAGGAAGAAGGAAGGAAGAAGAAGGAAGGAAGGAAGAAGGGAGGAGGAAGGAAGGAATAGGAAGGAAGGAGGAGGGAGGGAGGGAGAGGGAGGAAGGAAGGAAGGAAGGAAGGAGGAAGGAAGGAAGAAGGAAGAAGGGAGGAAGGGAGGAGGGAGGAGGAAGGAGGGAGAAAAGGGAAGGAAGGAAGGAAGGAAGGAAGGAAGGAAGGAGGGATGGAGGGAGGAAGGAAGGAAGGAGGAGGGAGGGAGGGAGGGAGGGAGGGAGGGAGGAGGGGAAGGAAGGAAGGAAGGAAGGAAGGAAGGAAGGAAGGAAGGAAGGAAGGAGGAATTTTCCAAAGTCCCATTTGGAAAAGCAATGCAGCAGGTGCTGTATTGGGCCCTGGCCTTTGGAGAGCAACCTCGCTGCCTGCCCATTCCTCAGGAGAGAGAATAACAAGAGGAAGGTGGCTCCTCTTTCATGGGAAGAGAGGGTCAAAAGAGCAAAAGGAGGTCTGAAGTTGGGGGAGAGGCTCCACGGAAGGCATGGGCAAACTTTCTAACTTGGGGGCACACGGGAGGGGGTTCTCCCCAAGCCCCCTCCCTGCCCTTTCCTCACCTTCCTCTTCTCTTTCAGAGGCAGAAAGTGAAGGAAAGATGGGAAACCTTTGGTCTTCAGGAGAGAAAAAGTGTCGACTTTGCCTAGTCCTGATATATAATCATAGATTTGGAAGAGATCCCCAAAGGTCATCCAGTCCAACCCCCTGCCATGCAGGAAGGCACAACCAAAGCACTCCCGATAGACAACCTCTATGGAAAAGCCTCCAGAGAAGGGGACACGACCACACTCCCAGGCCGCCTAAGCCACTCTCCAGGAAGTACTTCCTGATCTTTTCAGTCAAATCTCTTTCCCCGCCATTTGAACATTTTTGCTTCCTTGTTCCCTGGACTCTAGAGCAGCAGGAAGTAAGTTTTCCCCCTCCTCTTCCTCCTGAATGGGACACCCTTTGAAATCGTGAAAAATGGTTCTCGTGTTCCTTCTCTTCTCCCAGCTAAATGTCCCCCAGGAGGAAAGGAGGGAGGAAAAAGAGAAGGAAGGAAGGGTGGAAGGGAATGGAGAAAGGGAGGGAGGAAAGAGAAGAAGGAAAGACTAAAGGGAAGGAAAGAAGGAAGGAGAAAGAGGGAGAGAGGGAGGAAGAGAAGAATGGAAGGAAGGAAGAGTGGAAAGGAATGGAGAAAGGGAGGGAAGGAGGGGGAAAGAGAGAAGGAAGGAAGGAAGGAAGGAAGGAAGGAAGGAAGGAAGGAAAGAAGGAAGGAGAAAGAGGGAGAGAGGGAAGGAGGAAGGAAAGAGAGAAGGAAGGAAAGATGGATGGATGGATGGATAGAAAGAGGGAAGGAAGGAAGGAAGGAAGGAAGGAAGGAAGGAAGGAAGGAAGGAAGGAAGGAAGGAAAGAGGGAGAGAGGGAAGGAGGGGAAGAGGGAAGGAAGGGGGGAAAGAGAGAAGGAAGGAAAGAAGGAAGGAAGGAAGGAAGGAAGGAAGGAAGGAAGGAAGGAAGGAAGGAAGGAAAAAGAGGGAGAGAGAGAAGGAGGGGGAAAAGGGAAGGAAGGAAAGATGTATGGAAGAAAGGAAGGAAGAAAGGCGAAAGAGAGAGAGAGGGAAGGAGGAAGGAAAGAGAGAAGGAAGGAAAGATGAATGGAAGGAAGGAAGGAAGGAAGGAGAAAGAGGGAGAGAGGGAAGGAGGAAGGAAAGAGGGAAGGAAGGAAAGATGAATGGAAGAAAGGAAGGAAGGAAGGAAGGAAGGAGAAAGAGGGAGAGAGGAAGAGGAAGAAAGAGAAAGAAGGAAATATGAATGGAAGGAAGGAAAGGAGGGAGGAAGGAAGGAAGGAAGGAAGGAGAAAGAGGGAGAGAGGGAGGAAGGAAGAAAGGAAGGAAGGAGAAAGAGGGAGAGAGGGAAGGAGGGGGAAGAGGGAAGGAAGGAGGAGAAAGAGAGAAGGAAGGAAGGAGAAAGAGGGAGAGAGGGAAGGAGGAAGGAAAGAGAGAAGGAAGGAAAGATAATGGAAGAAAGGAAGGAAGGAGAAAGAGGGAGAGAGGGAAGGAGGAAGGAAAGAGAGAAGGAAGGAAAGATGAATGGAAGAAAGGAAGGAAGGGAGAGAGGAAGGAAGGAAGGAAGGAAGGAGGAAGGAAGAAAGGGGGAAGGAGGGGAGGAGAAAGAGGCAGGGAAGAAAGGGAGGGAAAAAGGGAAGAAGGAAATAGAAAAGGAAGAAGGAAGGTGGAAGGAATGGAGGGAGGGAGAAGGAAGAAAAGGAGAAGGGAGAAGAAGGGAAGGAGGAAAAAGAAGGGAAGGAGAAAAGAGAGAGGGAAGGAAGGAGGGAGGAAAGAGAGAAGGAAGGAAGGGGTGGAAGAGAAGGAGCGAGGGAGGAGGGAAGGAAGGGAGGGAAGAGAGAAGGAATGAAGGACATGAAGGGGAGAGAGAGGAGCGCCTGAGAAAAGAGCCCAAGGGGCCACATCCGGACCCTCAGGCCTGGGTTTACTCATTCCCGCTCTGCAGAGAGTCAGGCACAAGCAGCCAACTCCAGGGAGACCGAGGCATGCCTTTGGCTCTTCTTTCCTCCCCTTTATATCCCCAAGGATGCTCACCGCCTGCCTTCCTCTCTCTCTCTCTTTTCTTTCCTTCCTTCCTCTCCCTTCGCCTCTGCCTCAGGAGGGAAGGAAGGAGGGAGGGAGTAAGACAGGCACAGCACCCCCCCCCCCCCGCTTTCCCTTTCGAGCTGGAGGGCCGCCTCTGAGCATAGGCAGAGTGACAGTCAAAGCAGCAGGGGAGGGCCTTCCTTCCTTCCTTCCTTCCTTCCTTCTTCTTCTCTATCTATCTTTCTCTGTTTCTTTCTGTCTTTCTTTCTGTCTTCCTTCCTCTCTCTCTCTTCTCTCTTCCTCCCTCTCCCTTCCTTCCTTCCTACCTTCCCCCCTCTCTCTCTTCCTCTCTTCCTTTCTTTCTGTCTTCCTGCCTTCCTCCTTACCACACTCTATTTTGTTTCTGTCTTCCTTCCTCTTCCTACATTCTCTTTCCTTTCTCTTCCTTCCTTTCTCTCCCTCTCTTCCTTCCTTCCTCCCTCTCTCTTCTTTTTTTCTGTTTGTCTTCCATCCTTCCTCTCTCCCTCTTCCTTCCTTCCTATTTTCTTACTTCCCTCCTCCCTCTCACTCTTCCTTTCCTCCCCCCCTCTCTTAGTTTCTCCTTCTCTCCTTCCTTCCTCTCTTCCTCCCCCCTCCCACTTTTCTTTTTCTCTGTCTTCCTCACTCCCTCCCTCTTCTTTCCTTCCCTTTCCCTTCTTGTCTTCCTTCCTTCTTTTCTCTCCTCTCTTTCTCCTTCCCTCCCTCTCTCTTCTTTTCTTTCTCTTTGTCTTCCTCCCTCTTCTTTTCTTCCTTTTCCTTTCTTTTCCTTCCTTCTTTCGTCTCTCCCTCTCTTCCTTTCTCCCTCTCTCTTCCTTCCTTCTCTTTCCTTTCTCCCTCCCTCTCTTCTTCCTCCCTCCCTCTTCTTTCTTTCACTTTCCTTTCTCTTTCAGTCTTCCTTCCTCCTTTCCTTCCTCTCCCTCTCTTCTCCTGCCTCCCTCTCTCTTTTCTTTCTTTCTGTCTTCCTCCCTCTCTTCTCTTCCTCCCTCCCTCACTCCTCTTTCCTTCTCTTTCCTTTCTCCTTCCCTCCCTCTCTCTTCTCTTCCTTCTCCCCTCCCTCTTCTTTCCTTTCTCTCCCTCTCTCTTCTCCTTCGTTCCTTCCTTCCTCCCTCCCCCCTCTTCTTTCCTTCTCTTTCCTTTCTCCCTCCCTCCCTCTTCTTTTCTTTCTCTCTTCTTCCCTCTGTCCCTCCCTCTTCTTTCCTTCTCTTTCCTTTCTCCCTCCCTCACTCTCGTGTTAGGGTCGCTCTTAGGCATAGACCGCACTAAAGCCAGCATCGGTCCTGCTACTTGCCGCACGCTGCTTGAAGCTACTCTACTCCCTCTCTCTTCTCTTGTCTTCCGCCCTCCCTCCTCCCTCTCTTCCTTTCTCCTTTCAGTCTTCCTTCCTTCTTTCCTTTCTCTCCCTTCTCTTCTCCTCCTCCCTCTTTCCTTCTTTTTCCTCCTTCTCTTTCTTCTTCCTTCTTTCTTTTCTCCCTTCTTTCTCTTCCTTCCCTTTTTTTCTTTCCTTTCTTCTTCTCTTCCTTCCTTCTCCCTTCTTCTTCTCCTTCCTCCCCTTTTCTTTCCTCTTCTTCCTTTCCTTTCTCTCCCTCTCTCTTCTCCTCTCTCCCTCTTCCTTTCTTCCTCCTCCCTCCTCTTCTTCCCTTCTCTTCCCTCTCCCTCTCTCTCTCTCTGTGGGGCTGGGGTTGGGGGGGGGGGGGTGGCGTCCCACCTTTGTGCCGGATGCTCCTCTTCCAGTCCTTGGCGGTCTCCCTCCCGCTGACGAACTGGAACTCGTTGGGGGTGAGCCACTCTCCGCGGTAGCGGATGGAGGGCCCCTTGCTGCCCTGGCACAGCTTGTGGATGTAGAGCAGCGCCTTGTTCTCCCCGCACTCCACCTCCAGGCAGGGCTCGCCGCGCTCCAGGAACGGGTGGAAGTCCGACGAGGAAGAGGAAGAGGAAGAGGTGGAAGAGCAAGAACTGGAGGACGAGGAGGCGGAGGAGGAGGAGGAGGAGAAGCGCTCCAGGAGGAGCAGCTCCTCGTGCGGAGGGGGTGGCGGCGGCGGAGGAGGAGGAGGCGGCGGAGGAGGCGGGTGGAAGTCCAGGAAGGGCGGGGGGCCGAAGAGGGGCTCGTAGGGCGGCGGAGGCGGAGGGGGGTGCGGGGTGACGGCGAAGTGGGGCACCAGGTAGCCCTCCAAAGGGCGGTTGAAGGCGGCCAAGGGGAGCAGCTCCTCGCGGTCCGGCCGCTCCCGCTTGACAGCCGGCATCTCCGGAGCCCCGCCGAGGCAAGAGAGGGCACAGCAGCGGGGGGAGGCCGGCCCCGGCCCCAGCCCCAGCCCCGGCCCCAGCCCCAGCCCCAGCCCGGCCGAGCCTAACTCCACGAGGAGGAGCCGGCGGCTGGACATCTCCGCCGCCACGCCAGAGGCATGGTGCCGGTCGCCAGGGGCTTATTGATCCCCTTCCCCTTCGCCTTCCCCTTCGCCTTCGCCTCCTTCCCACGCGAAGAGAGAGAGAGAGACACACAGAGAGAGAGAGAGACGCCCGGCCCACGGCTCGCCTTTCTCGCCTCCTCCTCCTCCTCCTCCTCCTCCTCCTCTTACTCCGCCTTGGCGCTTTTCTAATCTCCCGCGGAAAGCAAGAGAGCCCTCTCTCAGTCCCCCTCTCCCTCTCCCTCTCTCTCTTCCTCCCTCCTCTGGAAAAAGGGAAGGAAGGAGGGAGGAACTAGAGCTCCTCAGCCTCCCCACTCCCGACATGAAAGCCTCCCCCAGGTGCCCGACTTACTACAACTCTCCTCAGGAGAGCGGGTGGGACTTGGGATACTGAGAGACAGAGAAGTAGGTAGGTAGGTAGGTAAGCAGATAAGTAGGTACGTAGATAAGTAATTAGGTAGGTAGGTAGGTAGATAGGTAGGTAGGTATGTAAGTAGGTAAGTAAGTAGATAGGTAGGTAAGTAGGTAGATAGGTAGATAGGTAGATAGATAGATAGATAGATAGATAGATAGATAGATAGATAGATAGGTAGATAGGTAGATAGGTAGGTAGATAGGTAGATAGGTAGATAAATAGGCAGGTAGATATGTAGATAGGTAGGTAGGTAATTAGATAGGTAGGTAGGTAGGTAGGTTGGTAGATAGATAGATAGAAAGATAGATAGATAGACAGACAGACAGACAGACAGACAGGTAGGGAGGTAGCTCAGTAGATAGGTATGTAAGTAGATAGGTAGGTAGATAAGTAGGTAGCTCAGTAGATAGGTAGTTAAGTAAGTAGATAGGTAGGTAGCTCAGTAGATAGGTAGGTAGGTAGGTAGATAGCTAGCTAGCTAGATAGATAAGTAGGTAGGTAGGCAGGTAGGTAGATAAGTAGGTAGGTATATAGATAGGTAGGTAGGTAAGTAGATAGGTAGAAAGATAGGTAGGTAGCTCAGTAGGTAGGTAGATAAGTAGGTATGTAGGTAGGTAGGTAAGCAGATAAGTAGGTACGTAGATAAGTAATTAGATAGGTAGATAGGTAGGTAGGTAAGTATGTAAGTAGGTAAGTAAGTAGATAGGTAGGTAAGTAGGTAAATAGGTAGATAGATAGATAGATAGATAGATAGAGTAGGTAGATAAATAGGTAGTTAGATATGTAGATAGGTAGGTAGGTAATTAGATAGGTAGGTAGGTTGGTAGATAGGTAGGTAGACAGGTAGGTAGGTAGGGAGGTAGCTCAGTAGATATTTATGTAAGTAAGTAGATAGGTAGGTAGATAGGTAGGTAGCTCAGTAGATAGTTACGTAAGTAAGTAGATAGGAAGGTAGATAAGTAGGTAGCTCAGTAGATAGGTAGGTAAGTAAGTAGGCAGGTAGCTCAGTAGATAGGTAGGTAGGTAGATAGATAGATAAGTAGGTAGGTAGGCAGGTAGGTAGATAAGTAGGTAGGTAGATAGGTAGGTAGGTAGGTAAGTAGATAGGTAAAAAGATAGGTAGGTAGCTCAGTAGGTGGGTAGATAAGTAGGTAGGTAGGTAGGTAGGTAGGTAGGTAGATAAGTAAGTAGGTAGGTAGCTCAGTAGGTAGGTAGGCAGGCAGGTAGGTAGATAAGTAGGTAGGCAGGTAGGTAGATAAGTAGGTAGGTAGGTAAGTAGGTAGATAGGTAGGTAGATAGATAGGTAGATAAGTAGGTAGGCAGGTAGGTAGATAAATAAATAGGTAGATATGTAGATAGGTAGGTAGGTGAGTACATAGATAGGCAGATTGGTAGGTAGGTAGGTAGATAAGTAGATAGGTAGGTCGATAAGTAGGTAGGTAGATAGGTAATAGATAGATAGATACTGCCTCTGTTTCAAAGCCTCCAAAGGAGATAGATAGATAGATAGATAGATAGATAGATAGAATCATTGAATCCTAGAGTTAAAAGAGGCCACATGGGCCAGCTAGTCCAAACCACTGCCATGCAGGGAAAGCACAATCAAAGCACCCCCGACAGATGGCCATCCAGCCTCTGCTTCAAAGCCTCCAAAGGAGATAGATACATAGACAGATGCATAACATGCATTGCATACATAGATAGACACATAGTTAGATATAGATACATAGATAGATACATAGATAGATACATAGATAGATACGTAGAGAGTTACATAAAGAGATACATAGAGAGATATAGATACATAGATACATAGATAGAGATAGATACCAGGTAAGATGGGCCAGAACCATTTAGGGCAGTGGTTTTCAACCTGTGGGTCCCCAGATGTGTTGGCCTTCAACTCCCAGAAATCTTAACAACTGATAAACCGGCTGGGATTTCTGGGAGCTGCAGGGCAAAACACTTGGGGACCCACAGGTTGAGAATCACTGGATTAGGGCTTTATAGACTAAAGCCAGGACGTTGAATATTGCTTGGAAGCAGACTGGAGCTGACACCAAAGGGAAATTGTGTACTCCCTGTACGCCACTCTCATGACCAACTTTGGACCATTTCAAGCTTCCGAACAGTCTTCAAAGGCAGCCCCACATAGAGTGAGTTGCAGTAGTCTATTCGGAGATGTAACAAGAGTGTGGTCAAGTCTGGCTTCTCTAGGTATGGGTTTAAATTGTGCAATAACTCTCCTGGCCACCACGGAAACCTGGGGTTCCAGGCTCAGCTGTGAGTCCAGGAAAACTCCCAAACTGCAAATGTGTGTCTTTAGGAGGAGTGTAACCCCATCCAGTAGAAGCTGTAACCCTATACCCTGTTCCAGTGTTTCCCAACCTGGGGGTTGGGACCCCTGGGTGGATTCGCAAGAGGGTGTCAGGGGAGTCACCAAAGACCATCAGAAAACACATTATTTTCTGTTGGTCATGGGGTTCTGTGTGGGAAGTTTGGCCCAATTCTATCGTTGGTGAGGTTCAAAATGCTCTTTGATTGTAGGTGAACTATACATCCCAGCAACAACAACTCTCATATGTCAAGCTCTATTTTCCCCAAAATGCACCAGTGTTCAGATTTGGGCATAAGTCTGCCCATGCAAAGCAGGTGAACATAGCATTGAATGAAACATGCAGAATAATCACAGGATGTCTTAAACCTACACCTGTTGATAAAGTCTACAAGCTAGCTGGCATTGCCCTCCCTGATGTGTGATGAGAAGTTGCTGCTAAATGTGAGAGAAATAAGGTTGAACACTGTATCAGCCAGCACATCAATGACTTAAATCAAGAAATAGTTTTCTAAGATCTACAGACACTTGCTGGAACATCCCAGCAAGTGAGAGTCCAAAAGTGGCAGGCTCAAACCCAGAACCTCAATCCATGGCTGATACCAAATGAGAGACTCCCTCCTGGGCACACAGAGGACTGGGCAACTTGGAAGGCGCTGAACAGGCTGCACAAGATGCAGAGCCAACCTTCAGAAATGGGGCTACAAAGTGGAATCCATGACATGCGAGTGTGGAGAGGAGCAAACCACTGACCACCTGCTGCAATGCAACCTGAGCCCTGCCACATGCACCATGGAGGACCTTCTTGCGGCAACACCAGAGGCACTCCAAGGGGCCAGATACTGGTTGAAGGACATTTCATCAACTACCAAACTCACAAATTTGCAAACAAATTCAAAGTGCTGGCGTTGGCCTATAAAGCCCTAAACGGTTCTGGCCCAAGTTACCTATCCGAACGTATCTCTGCCTATGAACCCACCAGGACTCTAAGATCTTCTGGGGAGGCCCTGCTCTCGATCCCGCCTGCTTCACAGGCACGGCTGGCGGGGACGAGGGACAGGGCCTTCTCTGTGGTGGCCCCTCGGCTATGGAACGCCCTTCCCATGGACATTAGATCAGCCCCTTCGCTAATGGTGTTTCGAAGAAAACTAAAAACCTGGCTGTTTGAACAGGCGTTCGGATAAATAGTGCAATGAACACGATGAATCTAGGAAACGGAATTATGGATGACGAATTGGATCACGATTTTAGTTACGAGACGTTAATGTGTTGTTATTGAGATGTCATTAGTTTGTATTTTATACTGTTAATGGTTTTAATATTGTATGTTGTTGGATGTCTTTTGCTCTTGTTGTGAACCGCGTTGAGTCGTCTACGGGCTGAGAAACTACGGTATACAAGCAAAGTAAATAAATAACGTTGTTTGTTTTGTTTTGTTAAACATGTAATACAAATGTCTGGTTGCTCCTCAATTAGGAAGGTTGAGATCCAACGATGTAGATGTTAAACAACATGGGGGGGGGGGGACAGTATTGAACTGCTACTCCCAACCCACCAATCAGAGCGGAGGTCCCAAACTGGATTCCAAAACTAAGCAAAGAGAAGGACAGGGAATAGATGGATTGACTGATGCCTTGGCCAAAGTGGGCCTTTGGAGTTCTGAGAGGCTCCGGCCAGACTCGAGTCTCCTGCCGCCAGCCTCCGCTCTGACGTGGCCCCATTTAAATGGCACAAAAAAAAAAGAGGAGGAGGGAAAGGAGAGAAGGGGGTGTACACTGAGAGAAGGGGGCCAGCGAGGGACAACCGCTGTCTCCAATGGAGCCGCACACAGTCTCCTTCTCTCTTCCCCGAGGAAAGAGCAAGTTCAACTTTCCTAGGGAGAGGCACGCACTACGGCTTCTCCCACAGCTCGACTGCAATCATAACATATTATATATACTACAACCTATGCTATAGGTGACAACTGGAAAATAGAGGGAGAAACCGTGGAGGCCGTGACAGACTTTGTATTTCTAGGTGCAAAGATGAGTGCAGATGCAGACTGTGGCCAGGAAATCAGAAGACGCTTACTTCTTGGGAGGAGAGCAATGTCCAATCTCGATAAAATAGTAAAGAGT